TCCATTAAGAACAATGTTGGCTCTTGGGTTTTCATAGATACTTTTTACTATGTTGAAGAAATTCCCCTCTAATCCTATTTTGTTGAGTGAGAAGCTAGACTCTTAAGAAGAAGAATGTGGTGCGCACTTGGGCAGCACACGTACTAAAATTGGAACAATACAGAGAAGATTAGCATGGCCCCTGTGCAAAGACACGCAAATTCGTGAAGCATTTCATATTTTTAAAATTCAGTGTCTCAAATAAAGATGTATTTAAAATTGACAAAAAAAAGAATGCGGTATTAGGATTGGAGGGAGACTCATTAATAACCTGCATTATGCAAATGGCACCACCTTTCTTGCTGAAAGTCAGGAGGACTTGAAGCACTTATTGCAGAACATCGAGGAATGCAGCCTTCAATACAAATTGCATCTCTGTCAAGAAAACAAAAATTGTTACCATTGGGCTGATAGGCAACTTTCATGATGGATGGAGAAGAGATTGAAACCGTCAATAACTTCAACTTACTTGGGTCCACAATTCACACCCTGGTACTGTGGTGGTGGTCGTTGACTGCCATCTGGTTGAGCACGACTCAGCAACCCTGTGAGGCCTAAAGCCTTTCAATAACTATCTTCATTTCTCAAAGTTCATAGAGTTTCCAGAGGCATGTTTTTAGGAAGTGGATGCCACTCCTGCTTCCAAGCCCTTGATAGTAGCTGTCAGGAAATCAGGAGATGTATTGCACTCAAGTGTCTCCAGATGGACCTCTCCAATTTTTTTTTTAACTTTATTATTTTTTGTGTGTGTACACCGTCAAATCGGATCTGACTGGTACAGGAGGAGATTGCCCCTCCTCCAGTAGAGCTTCTGGTGGATTTGAACCGTGTACCTCTGGGGACCTCTCTAAATTTTTAAAGAGCAATAATGTCAGGGTGCAGGTTAGGGTTGGAATTGCAGCACTAATTACAGTTTCTTAGCACTAAAGCCATCAGAGCTCCCTCGTAATAGATACTTGTAGAGGAGGCATTCAGAACATGTTCCACGGGTTTTTGCTCCCTTACCCTCTCCCCCCTTGTCTGTTGGGTTCTTACATCTCCATCTTTAGAGATACGGAGCAGAAAGCATGTAATTGAAATAACTAGAGCATAAGCAGTAGGAAAAACCCAAGCTAGTTGTCGAACTGATTCCAGCGCATGTGTGGGGAGTGAGGATTTCAAGGCTGAGAGCTTTAGGAAGCAGATCACCAGACATTCTTAGTGCCTCTGGGTGAGTCTGAACCACCAACCCTTGAGTTGCCAGTTAAGTTCTTAAGTATCATTTGGACTAAGGAGCAGTATGTGATCCAGGGTCCATGGTGCCCCATGTCTGCTGCTAGAGAGAACTGGGCAGGCCTGTGTGTGCTAAGAAGTGGCAGGCCTCTCCTGATTTTGCACTCTCTTCTACTGACCTTTGCTCTCTCCTCCTTCCAGGTTGTGGGCAGAATCCGATACGACAGGCCAGTGTAATGGCTGGAATCCCCTACAGTGTTCCAGCATGGAGCTGCCAAATGATCTGTGGGTCAGGCCTGAAAGCCGTGTGCCTGGCGGCCCAGTCAGTGGGGACAGGAGAGTCCAACATTGTGGTCGCAGGAGGCATGGAAAACATGAGCAAGGTAAGACGTCCTCTGAGGAGACGGCTTCCGCTGGCCTCTGCCGTGAGCCCCCATCCTGCCATCGCCCAGCCAGATGTTGTTGTTATGTGCCGTCAAGTTGCTTGCAACTCATAGCAACCCTTTGTACAAGAGCCCGAAACGCTGCTCTATCCTGTGCCAGCCTCGTTGTCTCCGAACACTCATTGCAGTCACAGAATTGATTCATCTCATCGAGGGTCTAGATGTTGTCTAGGAAGACTTAAACCCCAGACTAAACAGACACATAAACCAGAAAATACATTCTTCCTTGAACCCTTCTTTAATGTTAACTGTTCTTCAAAGTGGATGGGAAATTCAGGGTGAAGCAGAAACCCTGCCAGCCAGCACAACCGGAACAGAATAGACCCTTTTAAAAAATTGCTTGACACCAGATGCTCTGCTGAAGAAGGAGGAACAATCGCCTCCTGTACCAGTCAGATCCAATTTGACGGTACACACACACACACACACACACACACACACACACACTAAATAAATAAATAAAAATTAAAAAAAAAAAATAAAATTGCTTGAGTTGCATGGAAAACCTGTTTCCTAAATTTTCACTTAAAATACAATAAAGTGTTTTAAAAAACTATATAAAAATTGTATCAGCCATCTCCAAGCTGTTTTTCAGCAGTAACTTCCAAAGATTTGTGTCCACGTGTGCTGTACATACGAGTTTTCTACAGTGGTGTTGGTGGTTCAGTGGTAGAATTCTTTCTATGCAGGAGTTCCAGGTTAAAAAAATGAAAAATTCTTGTGAGGAAAAGTGAGAAACAAGTTCCTGCTTATCTTCTTGCAAATGACAAAGAAGGCCTCAGAGCCAGACTCAGTTTGGGGGGCTGGACCTTGGAAGCGTGCCCCGTGAGTGTCCTTCACTCCGTGTCCCAGTCAGAACGCATTTCAGCCATGTCCATCCCTCACAGGGGCAAGCAGTAAAAAGAGCGAGTGTCCCCTGCTTCCCACTGAGGCAGCTCAGTGTCCGGCCTGGGATTCCGAGTCAGAGGCCAGTTCAATTGGGCCGCTGCAGCCACTCAGAGGCGGGGAGAATGGGGCTGATGAGATGGGGTTTGCGGAGCTGGGCTGGTGCCCATGCCGTGCTTTCTAGAACCCCGCAGCAGCCCGTAGAGGCTGCTGTCATTGTTGAGTTGATTCCCACCTGGTGACCCGTGTGGCAGAGTAGACCGGCTCCGTGGAGTCGTCTGGAGGGCGATAGCCAGGCCTGACTCTCAGGGGGCCTCTAGGCCACTTGGAACTGGCTAGTAATCAAGGTCTCAGTCACATGCACCACCCCAGCTCAGGAGGTATCATTCCTAATTTCAGACAAACTGCAGCTCAGAGCTGGGCTTCCAGCCCTTCTTATTCCAAGTTCAACACTCTGAACGCATGGAGTAAAGAGCATTCTCTACACAGAATTCCTACCCTGTCAGTTCAGCCCACTGTGGCCATTGTGTCCTGTCAAAATAAGCAGCACACTGTTGGTTCTTCAGCCCGAGGTGGCTGGCTCTAAAAAAATAAACAAGTATGCTTCTTAAGGAGCGAGGAGAGGGAGCTTGACTGGTGCAGTCGTTAAGTACTTGGATCTTAACTGAGAGGTCAGCAGATTGAAACTACCAGCCAGGCCATGGGAGCCTGGACAGTCTGCTTCCACAAGAGGACAGATCAGGGAACACAGTTCTGGCCTGTCCCACTGGGTTGCTGTGAGTCAGAATCAAGTTGACAACAATGGGTTTTGATTTGTTAAGGAGCCAGGACACAGGATAGGTATGTTTTAACAGAAAAATGGGAGTACATGGAGTAATGGGTCCCCACAGGCAGGCAGGATGTAGTGGTCAGCTAACTCCTGGGGGCTTACAGCCCTGGGCCCCGAGTGTGCAGTGCTTTGGGCAGGGAGGACACTGGGGGAAGACTGAAGAAATGGCCACAGGTGGCTTCTCACAGGTGCCTGAGGCGACGACTGATGACACCCTATTCCATTTCTGTTTCCAGTCTCCTCACATGGTCCACTTGAGAGCAGGAATAAGGATGGGCGAGACTCCTCTCCTCGATAGCATACTCTGTGATGGGCTCACAGATGCATTTCACAACTATCACATGGGCGTTACAGGTAAGGTCGTTGAACAAAGAACAGAGGTTCAAGAAATACATGTTTCCAGTGTAGCTAGTACGTGCATCTAGAAAGAAGCCTGGAACTAGAGGCTCGCCGGCATCAGGGAGCCATTCTCAACCCAGGTCTTTGTTTCTAAATACATTCTCCACTCAAAGAAACTAAAGTTAGCTATTTTTTCGGAAAATTGCACCAGAGGAATTTGCCCATTTTTCTCCCACTAGGCAGCTAGCTGGTGGATTTGAACTGTATACCTTTGCATTGGCAGTGCGATTCCCAACCACTCAGCCTTTGGAGACCACCCCCCCCCCCCCCGCCCCAGCACTCTCTTAAGAATTAGAAAACCATGAATGAAGACTAAAATTAACAGCATGACAATTTATGAAAATAGTTTCATAATCTAGAATTACTTATTAACAAATCTCCTAACTCGTTCACTAATTATAAATGGAAAAAAGAATAACTTTAGGGTGGGTAAAACTGGCCAAGTGATGAAAGTCCATGTTACCTGAGGTGAACTGGCATTGATTGTATCCTGATCATATGTCCAGAGTCAGAATCCATCAGTGTCTCCCAGCCTGCCTAGGTCTTAACCTAGTGAGGAAACAGCAGACAAACCCAAACTGGGATATTCCATAAAAACCTGCCTCAGAAACATCAAGGTCAAAGGCAGGGATTGAATTGTGTCCCCTTAAAGTCTGTGTCGGAATCCTGGTACGTGTGGATGCAGTCCTGTCTAGGAGAAGGGTTTTCTGTGTTAATGAAGCTATATTGTAAGGGGTGTCTTAACGCAGTCGTTGCCAATTAGGCCCAGAAGCAGGAGGAAATAAGTAACACGGCCCCTGAAGATTGCCAAGGACCGAGAGCCGGGACTCTATCCGAGCCAGCAGCATAAGCCTTCCTTGGGAACTGGTGCCTGAAATGAGTAGTCCACGACACTCTTACACTGAGCTTGAACTTTCTGATTCTGATAACCTTGGTTATATTAGAGAATGACTTCACTTAGGCAAGTACTAACTGAAGTTAAAATTTAGGAGTACAGAGGCATGAAAACTCCAGGCTCTCCGGTGGCTCAGGGAAAAAACAGCAGGCAAATGGATCAAATGGTGAAAAGTTACTGAGTCTGCATTATTTCTGTATGTTTAAAATTGCACATAAAAGGAGGAAGAAAAGTGAATGAGTTCTGAGTTGAAATCTGAGGCTGTAAATCACAGTGGGAAGGGTGCCTGGCAGAGTCCAGCCATCAGTGACGTGCGTGTGTGGTGTTCACAGTGCGCTTGCTCTCTGCTGCCCCTGAGGGAGACCCCGGGCTCTTCAGTTTCGGTTCCTTGGTGACCTTCCGATGACATAACATAGCAAGCCAGCAGAGCTCCCCGCGGGTTGGGATAGCTCCTGGAAAGATGATGTTGAAGTCTTTACAGCTGGGACCTGTGACTGACCTTGTTTGAAAGAGTCTTTGATGTGAACATCAGTTAAATCAACAGGAGGTCACACTACAGTAGGGACTTCCTAGTCCAATATGGAGCCCTGGTGGCCAGGTAGCTGAGAAAGGAGTTGGATTGCCATTGCAAAAGGCAGTTGGTTCAAATCCATGAGCCACTCTGTAGGAAACAGAGGGGATGATCACCTCCCATATGATTTATAGCCTCTCAAAACTTCCTGGAGTGTGTTGATTCTGACTTGACAGCACATATGAGCAGTCTAACCTAACTCTTAAACAGGAAGAGACCCAGATACCCAGAGGGTGGATGCCTTGTGCAGACCAGCCTGTGTGTCTACAAGCCAGAGGGTGCCAAGGGTTGCCAGCTAACTGCAAGAGGCAACGAAGCATCTTTCCCGAGTGTGTTAAAGACCGTTTTAGGGAGGGAGTTTGTTTTGGCAGCTCCAGGGCTGTTAAGAAAGGACATAAATGCTTTTCCATGAGCCACGGGGCTCATTGACTGCCAGTGATGGCGAGATTGCACAGACTCAACTGCTGGTGGTTGTGCTTGTTTAGAGGGAAAAACTCTCAAGTTTCCAGAACTGAATCTGTGACATGTCGGTTTTGCCTTTTGTCCTCCAGCTGAAAACGTAGCCAAAAAATGGAAAGTCAGTCGGGAGGAACAAGATAAAGTCGCGGTCATGTCCCAGAACAGGACAGAGCGTGCTCAGAAAGCTGGCCATTTTGACAAGGAGATTGTACCTGTGTCGGTACCTTCTCGAAAAGGTGAGCTTCATCCAACAGGAGACTCTGGAGGAGAGAGAGAGAGAGTGTGTGTGTGTGTGTGTGTCTGTGTCTGTGTGTGTACGTACAGGAGACTCTGGAGGAATATTTGTGAGAGAGAGAGAGATAGGTGTCTTCCCTAGCACGGATCTCTCCTGTGTGGTTACCACAGAATGAACCCCGCCTCAGTCCCTGCTGTGCCCAAGCTCACCGTGGCAGCACCCAGGGCAGCTCTAAGGGCCGCAGCTCATCTCTCTGCGTTCCCCTCTTCCACTTTGCCAGGCAGGCTTCCTCCTCCCGGCATGCATCCCTCCTGATGACGTTAGGTGCCTGTGAGTTGAGTGTGACCCATAGCGACCCTGTAAACGGCTGACCTAGGTCCTGCCCTGTCCTGTGCCATCCTCACACTGATACATGTGAGATGAAGCCCCACCTCCCTGCTTCCAGACAGCTTTCTGGCTACACTCCTCCAACACAGATGTTTGTTCCTTTTTTCAGTAATGGAAAGTTTAAGTACTGATTATTTTGTATGCTGGTGTTTATCTAGTTCATTTTTCAAAAGATGTTGTCTCTTTGCGTAAAGTTGGTTAAGTCCACCTCATTGTCATGAGTCCCATCTTCCCAATGTGCAGCTTGGCCCTAACCCCCACTGCCCACTTTTCTGTTGTCCTCGCCAGCTGCCCTGTGGCACCTAGGGCTAGGCTAGAGTTCACAGGGTAAAAGGACAGAGTTTGGAGAGTCCACGCAACACCCCAGTCTTCTGTCTGCTGGCCTCTGAGCCTCCTCCAGGAAGCTAGGAGCCAACATAACATCTTCACTTTGGTTGTCGGCTGCCCTTCGGGGTCAGTTAATGCTCTGGAAAAACTGATGGCGCTCACACAGCATATACTATACTCAGGACTACAGATTTACAGCCTCTGGAAACTCTGTGGAGCTTGTTTCCTAAGGAGCGTTACCTCCTGAGGGTTTGTCCCCCAGTTAGGAAGCTCCTACGCCTTGTGCTCTGGGCTTTGTTTTTATACTGTAGGCTAATTAGCCATCTGAGACTTGTTGATCTTGGCCTCCCAAGCGACACTTATGGTCAGCCTCCACTTGTCAGCAGCAGTCCTGAGGCCAGCTGACATAGGGTGAGACCAGGTTCTCTCTCCACCAGTGTTCTGGCCTGGAGACCAGGGGACTGTGGAGCTTGTCCACCGAAAGGTGATGGCTCCCTTCCCCAAATGCTCCCTGGCGTCATGGAGGACGGCTTCAAGAATGGAACATATGCTAAGGCCACACTAGCAGAGGACTTCTGATGGAGTTCTTGAGAGGATCTTAGAGGAAAAGTAGATTCCCAGATAATTAGTGTCATGCATATTACAAAATTTCAAAGAGCACTTCTTTTCCTTGTTAGAAATCCAAATTTGTGTTCCTCCTGAGCTTTTTTTGTGTGTGTAAAATTTGCTTTTAACTACTTTGAAGCTCACAGTTCAGTGACATTGTTTCTAAAATATTGAGTAACTTTCACCACTAAGATAGTTCCAAAACCCAGTTACCCAAAGCACATCACGTGTCCCCATGAGGCAATGACTCCATTCGCCCTTGAGTTTACCTTTGCGAATTCCCACGTTATATCCTATAATTCTTAGTGTATAATTTCTTTGTATCCAAATAAAAATAAGGGATCACATCTGAGAAATCCATCAGGCATCTGTGGTACGCCCCATGTCAGCGATGCACTCATTTTGGGTAACCCCATTTTTTCAGGTGTTACTGAAGTTAAGACTGATGAGTTTCCTCGACATGGGAGCAACTTAGAAGACATGTCCAAGCTGAAGCCTCACTTTCTTTCCGATGGGACGGGAACAGTCACTGCAGCTAATGCTTCAGGTCAGGCACTGACATCACCTAGTGGAAGTCAGCCAACTGCAAACCTTGATACACAGAATTAATCCCGAAAATTTCTGGTAACTTCTCTGGGGGAAAAAACTGCTAATTCTGTTTGTGGTCACTGGTTTCATTTATACTAAAAGAATGGGCTTACTTTTTTATGTCCTAACTAAACTTCAAATTTATACCCAGGAGTCTTTGGCTTTTGAACTTATCCCATGGTTGAAGTGCCTTCTATTTTTTTTAGTAAGATGTGGACTTTTTGTTTTTCCTTTCCTAAGACTGCTCTCCTGCACTTTCAAACATACAGCTTTTTGTTGAAATGCCCTGTGGCCAGTGAAGGTGCTGAACTTTAGCATTGTAGTCTTGTTGGCATGGAGAGTTCTGTAAGGATACCTTAAGAGTATTAGAATTCATTGTGATTTCCTGCCTTTAAAAACCTGCTGGAGGGTCAGCGATGAGTCAGCTCTGACTTGCCGCGGACTATCTCTTTATCTTCAGGTGAAAGGGAAGGGAGGCAGACACAGGCCTGAGGTTTAATGATCCTTATTCTAGAAAAAGCTGTTCTCATTTTACAGGCATGAATGATGGTGCTGCTGCTGTGGTCGTGATGAAGAAGTCGGAAGCTCTTCGTCGTGGGCTGAACCCTTTAGCACGGATTGTGTCCTGGTCACAAGCAGGTGTGGATCCTTCCATTATGGGAACAGGACCAATTCCAGCAATAAAGCAAGCTGTAAGTACAGCCCCTACACTCAACCTTGACTTCAGTAATCTTATCTCTGGAACCAGACTAACTGCAATACCTTAGCAAGTTCCCCACTCCTGGCATCTCTCCATTGCACAATGATTGTTAACCTATTTCTAAATGTTCATTGGCCATTAACAAGCCAGACCATTATATTCTCTCAATTTCTTCCCAAATGTCTGGATCATATACATTCCCCACATAGAACAGATTGGCACAAAACTCGGTTAACACTATCTTTTAAAAAATTTTTTAAAATTGTTGTGTACTGTTGAATCCTATCGAACTAGCATAGGCGTTTGCCCCTCCTTGTCCAGCAGAGCATCTGATGGATTTGAACCGCGTGCCTTCGACCACCAGACCTGTGTATCATTTCTGAGGGATGTGAGAAAACATATCCTTAAGCTTTCAAAACTGAGGTCTCTATGCAAAATGAGTGCAACGATACAGAACTCAATGTGGGTTTTTAATTGATCTTTCAAAATTATACAGTACATTGTGTCTAAGTTGGTGTTTGATGTAACCTGAGCTTTCTTATCGGCATCTTTTGACGTCAGCTCCATTAATCTCTCTCTAGGTTGCAAAAGCAGGTTGGTCACTACAGGATATTGATGTATTTGAAATCAACGAAGCCTTTGCAGTCCTCTCTGTTGCAATAGCTAAAGAACTGGGATTAAGCCCAGACAAGGTAATTAATGGATATCAATTCTGACAAACTGTAAGCTTTCAGTTTTCAAGATAGTAAGAAAGCCATATATATAAGTTTCTACTGTGAATGGGATGGGATCTCCCAAGGCCAAAAAAAAAAAAAGAAAGCCTTGACTGAGTACCTTAGTTGTTCAACAGTAAATTTTAAAGTAAGGAACACTGAGGAAAGTAGCCATGAATAAGAAAAAAGAATGCCAAAATGTAAAATGAAATTTTAAATATGCGAGGGTCGTTTATTGGTGTGCTATTGAGAAGGGGAAAACTGTCAACAGAACAATTAATAACACTAACTTCCCCCTCAACAGATCAACATCCAAGGCGGGGCCATAGCCTTGGGCCATCCCCTGGGAGCATCTGGCTGTCGGATCCTGGTGACCGACCTCCACACCTTAGAGAGAACTGGAGGGACCCGTGGTGTTGCTGCCCTGTGCATAGGGGGTGGGATGGGCATAGCAATGTGTGTTCAGAGAGGATAGATAAAATTATTCTGTTAATTAACCACAAGCTAATCCTGCACCTTACTTTTTGCTAAACTTTATATAACAGAGCTGGAGAACATCCACTACCTTCACAGCAGGCTTTGTGATAACTTTAATGTGCATCTCGCATTGTTATAAATAAAAGGACGTCAGTCATCAAGGGCTCCTGAGTGAACAGCATCTTCATGACCTCCGTGTTTTTCATCTTTACTTTCTGGGTGTAATTTGATAAGATCATCAATCCGAAGGATGGTAATGGCAGCTTCTGTGGCAAATTTCAAACTCTTGACTTTGACGATGGTTGGTTCAAACACCCCTGCTTGCTTGTTGTCACGAGGCTTGCCATTGATCAGATCCAGACCAATCCTGCAATTCAAAACCAAATTCCTGAATGGCCGCTTTTGTAACATATTCTCTTAAAAAAGCTAATCTAGAGTCCATCACCTGGAATTCTAGCTATTCCATATAAAGGTTACTGTTTTCTCATATGAATGATTGGACTTTGAAAATTAAGCTTACCATTTTAGATTTTTTCGTTCCGGGTTAACTTGAGCTTCATTGTGAAAAGCTCTTAATTTTGCAACCAGATCCGTGGAGTCTTGGGCAGCATTAACTGCGAGTGTGTTTGGAATAACAAGGAGAGATCTTGCAAACTCTGCGATAGCGAGCTGTTCCCGAGACCCCTAGGACAGAAAGTCGGGTGTTTTTATTAAAGATCACCAGCCATGGCAGCCCCAGAGGCTTGGCTCCCAGGTCTTGAGACCGCTCTTACCATGCTCGTGGCGTAGTTTTCCAGGTAGATGGAGAGGGCGGCCTCCACAGCGCCCCCACCTGGAACCACAGACTTGGACTCCAACACTCTCTTCACCACACAGAGAGCATCATGCAAAGAGCGCTCCATCTCATCACACATGAAATCATTGGCCCCACGCAGGATGATGGAGGCAGATGTACGGGCTTTCGTGCTGTTTAAAATGAGCATTTCACAGAACAAGTCTACATTGTAATTCAGCACATACATTCTTTTAAAAATTGTTTACAGAGGGCAGTAAGATATACAATGTCCTGTCAAAAAATGTCTAGACCCTGTAGATGAGAGAAAACGATGACTTCACCTCACTGTACAAAGGTCTCATATACTTTATCCCATGCGTATAACTGCTCATATCACCAACAGATTATAGCAGCAAATAAATGGGAAGGTAGCCTAATTTTAATAGAAAGTATATTGTAAATAGCTTTATGATTTAGAAAGTGTTCTTACTTTTTGATTAAAATCAGTTCATCATCACAGATTCTCTCTTGTACTACCTCTTCAGCTTGTCCCAACAGTGAAGCCTCGAAAGTCTCTTCACCTTCCAGGTTGGCCAGGGTTGACAGAATAGTCGCTATTAAGAGAATGAAAAATCCTGGTTAAGTGTTGTTCCTTCAAGCACTTCCCCCTCCTAAAGACTTTAATGTTCTTTTTAAGTCAGAACCATTTCTTAAAATGTGTAAAATTACGTTTCAGGTTTCCAGGTAAGCAAACCTTGTATTTGAGATAAATCCTGTTAATCTCACTCAAGATGGAACAAAATCATTTTCGAAGTACACAAATTCAGTTTTGAAGTTCTCCAATTTCTAGAAATGGCTCTATCAGTACAGATGTAACACAGCTTTAAGGGAACACAAAACGTTTTTAAAAAAGACCTTTAGTGTCCAGTGAAAACTCTTTTTGCCCTGCCATGGACTTCAGCATAAAGGCCTGCACCTGAAACCAGCAGAAGTCATACCTCCAGAAGCTTTTGCAATGCGCTTAAGGTCTCTCTTTAAGACTCTTCTAACTGCCATTGCTCCAGCCTCCACAAAGTACTTCAGACACATGTCATCAATGCCACCAGTGGTTAGAATCACATTGGCCCCAGTTGCCAGGATCTTCTGAATTCTCTCCTTGGTAATATCAGATTCTCTAGAAGAAGATGATACTGGAGTATTAATACACTTGACCTTGTGTTTCTGCAGAATACAGATATTTTTCAGGAAGTAATTGTAAACTAAGTAGCACTGACCACTCATTCACATCTATGACAATTGTGAAATACAATTTTAGTTGATAATTTTTTTGGTGTAAAAGACCAAACTTGATAAACTCCATTTGAATTCCCTGTTTCTAACCAAGAACACTGATAACTAAGTCTTGGACCTTTTTTTTTTTTATCAAAGCTCAAACTAAAATTTCATAACCCCATCCTGATAAAATACTGCCACCAACTGGTCTGATTTTTCTGTAAATTTATGTAAAACAGTTTTGACTTTGGCGAAGAATGAACTTTGGCACAAACCTCTGTCTGATTTGGTCCAGTTTTTCTGGGTCTGTAATAACCACTTGAACACCGAGCTTCATTTTTGTTTTCTGCAGGCTGAAGTCAAGGCAAGCTATTTTTGCATTAACTATTCTCTTGGGCATGCCTATAATTGAACACAACATTTAATGCTTTTATGGTAACTCTAACAGTGCCACATCTTACACAAAACTCCCTTAAGAGCACAATAAAAAAGGCCACAAAGGTCTTATGTTGTAATATATAAAAATACACTTAAATAATCATCAAGTAACCTTGGGAAATTTATTTAAAAAGCCTCTAATTTCACTTGCACTGCATGGTAGCGCACATGCTCAAGTTAGGAGAGAGAATGCAGCTTGACAACCCCCTCCTCCCACCCCTCAGCCCGCGTTTCACGGAGGCGTTACCACAATAAGCTTGTTTTTACCTGTGGGATCTTGACCCAGTCCAGACCCTTACCCTGCGATCCTACCACACAGTTGAGTGCGTAGCCATTGATCAGCAGACTTTCCATCTGACTTCTGCCGTGGGCCTTCAGAACATTAACAGAATTGACCGGATAGCGAGGCTGGCCTCTCCCATCTACGTATTTAACAGCAAGGACAGCATCCACAACCATATTAGCAAAGAAATCACCATTTCTAAGCCAAAAGTTAAGGACAAAACCCACACCGTACGAACAACTTACTGTACAGAAAAATAAAGGGAGGCCAATAGGGACAAGGCCACTTTTGTTTCCTTTTAAAAACTTCAGTCATCAAAGAAACAGTTATTAGTTATGCCATCAAGATACTACAGTACAATTTATAAACACCTTCATCTATGCACATTTTATACATTAAGGATTTCTGTGGCTTAGTGATAAGTATGCAACCCACAGGCATTCAGTTCGAATCCACTAGCTATCCCAGGGGGAATGATGAGCAGACTCCTCCCAAGTGATTAAAAGCCTCTTAAAACCGACTGGAGGGTCAGCTCGGAGTGGGTTCTGACTTGACAGTTCAATGAAACGTAAGATCGTACGTTATAAACCCCCCCCCTCAATTTACTGTACTATATAAGGATACATTCCAATAATTTTGGAAGACATCGATGTCTTAGCAGCATTAATCAGGCACTCTCTCCCAAGTTCATCTGTGTTAATAATTAAGTTTTCACTGATATAACGAACTGCTTCCCTGTTTAAAGTAGGGGGAAGAAAACGTAAGTTTAGGACTTAAAACTTTCTTTGATTGATAGTGTCAAGATGTCATTTGCATCACTTTGCTATACAGCCATTTCATACAGGAAGACACCAAAGAGCCCTCCCTCTTCAAATTATCCAATGCTGATCTACCCCATAAGCACAACCACTAAAGTCTATTAAGATCTGAAGGGGCAGTCAAATGGGAAAAAACAGAAGATACAGGGTTTACGTTTCCTTTAACACACAGCTCTCTTCAAATCACATCATTAATTTCAGAACACTAGGACTTTACTAGCTATTATAAAAAAACTATTTCTAAGACAACAAATATTGACATTCTTTTAAAGAGAGATCAAAAAACTTGCTTCCTCTGATATAACTTGCAGCTTTATTGTTGATGCCTTGATGTGTTTCTTTAAAAAGAAGTATTTTTTCCTAACTTAAAAAAAAATCCCCAAAATAGCATTTCTCTGTAAATGCAATCTTACTTGCAAGCAAGTCGATAGCCACTAATAACAGATGTGGGATGAATTTTCTGTTTGACCAGTTCATCTGCATTTTTCAGAAGTTCTGCAGCAATAATAACCTGTTGAGAAAACACGCAGGCTTTTAAGTCTGACAAGCAAGCTGTACAATGCATGTAAAACAGGACTAAAACGATCGGTGATAGAGGGATTAGTAGGAAAACGTCTAGTGTATGCCAACGGCAAGAGTGAGTGAGAACCGTAATAAAGTTCTGGGTTGGAAATTATTTCAGCAGTAAAACAGAGGAGGGGGAGGAAAAAAACCCCACAACCCTCTAAGGAAAGAGAATCCCAGAACATTTAATTGTGCTCATTCATATAAAACCTGTATTTATTAGATCAAGAAACATGCCAAAATAGAACAAGGGAACACTGCATGGTTTAAAAGCAGGAAAGGTGTGTACCAAGGTTGGATCCTCTCCATAGCTAATTCAATTTGTACGCTGAGCAAACTGAGTGAAGAAGCTGAATTCTATGAAGAACAATGTGGCATCATGATTGGAGGATGACACAACCTTCCTTGCTCAAAGTGAAGGAAACACACACTGCAGAAGCCACACTTGTTGTTGTTATGTGCGGTCGAGTCGCCTGCGACTCATAGCGACCCTGTGTAGAACAGCCCTAAACTCCGCTCCGTCCTGTGCCAATCACACTGTCTCTGACACTCCCATCCCAATTATCCCAGTCACTGAATCAATCCACCTCATAGAGGGCCTTCCTCTCCTGCGCCATCCCTCCACCCTCCCAAGCATGATGTCCCTCTCTAAGGACCGGTCTCTCCTCACAACATGTCCAAAGTAAGTTGGATGGAGCCTCAGAATCCTTGCCTCCAAGGAGCCACCCAGTTTAACCCTCTCCAGGACAAATCTGTTTGTTTTCCTAGCAGTCCATGGTATTCTCAAGACTCTTCTCCAGCACCACAGCTCAAAGGCATCAATTTTCCTTCTATCCTCCTTGGTCATTGTCCAACTCTCTGATGCATAACAAGTGATTGCGAAGACCATGGCCTGTTCAGACGCACCTTAGTCTCCAGAGAGACACCACTGCTCTTCAGCACTTTGGAGAGGTCCCTAACAGCAGACTTTCCCGTGGCAATGCGCCTTTTAATTTCCTGGCTGCTGGTGCCAAGACTGTTGACTATGGAACCAAGCAAACTAAAGCTGTGAACAATCTCAATCTCTTCACCACCCATCCTGATGCTGCCAATTGGTCCAGTGGTGAGAATCTTTGTCTTCTTGACACTGAGCCTCAATCCATATTGTAGGCTGCAGTCCTTGACACTCTGCAGCAGGTGCTTCAGGTCCTCCTCAGTTTCAGCAAGCAGGGTTGTGTCATCCGCATAACGCAGATTGTTGATAAATCGTCCACCAATCTTGACCCCACATTTCTCCTCATAGAGCCCAGCCTCCCGGATAATCTGTTCTGCATATAGGTTGAAAAGGTATGGAGATAGGATGCATCCCTGGCGTACGCCCTTCCCAATTTTGAACCATGCAGTGTTCCCTTGCTCTGTTCTGACGACTGCCTCCTGGTCCAAGTATAAGTTTCGCATTAGAACGATCAAGTGTTCTGGGATTCCCATTCTTCTCAGAGTCAGCCACAGTTTGTTATGATCTACACAGTCAAATGCCTTTGCATAGTCAATGAAACACAGACAGACATTCCTCTGGTATTCCCTGCTCTCAGCCAAGATCCACCTAACATCAGCTACAATATCTCTAGTACCACGACCCCTTCTGAAACCAGCCTGGACTTCTGGTAGTTCTCTGTTGATGTGCGGTTCCAGTCGTTTTTGGATAATTTTCAGTAAAATCTTGCTTGCATGTGAAATCAGTGAAATTGTTCTGTAGTTTCCACATTCGGTTGGGTTGCCTTTCTTTGGGATAGGAACAAATATCGATCTCTTCCAGTCAGTTGGCCAAGTGGTCGTTCTCCAGATTTCTTGGCACAACTTGGTGAGCACGTCCAGGGCAGCATCTGTTAACTGAAATATGTCAATTGGTATACCATCTATTCCTGGAGCCTTATTTTTTGCCATGTCCTTCAAAGCAGCCTGAACTTCTTCTTTCATCACCATAGGCTCTTGCTCATATGTTGTTTCAGCCTTCAATATAGACTACAAGTGAACAAGAAAAAAGAAAGTATCTCACCACTGGACCAATAATTAAAATTATTAATGGATGAGAAAAGATTCAAGTTTGATTTTACTTGGAGCCCCAATCAACAACTATGGTAGAAACAATATCACGCCGTACTATATTGGGAAATTTGCTCCCAAGGATCTCCTTAAAGTTCCAAAAAGGATGTCAGTTTAAAGCCTAAAGTGCACCTGATCTAAGCCACAACATTTTCCATTACATCATATCCACCCAAAAGTTGTAAATTGTACAGGGAAGACAGAAGAATAGATTCCTTTGTCGTATGTGGTGTCAGAGAAGTGCAACAAGAATGCTTCTTAGAGGCAAGAATTGATGACACTTTGTCTCTATACTTTAGCCATGATGTCAGGAGGGGCTAGTCCTTGGAAAAAAGACATTATGCTGGGCCAAGGTAGGTGGTCGGAATGAGCGAAGACTCAAGAAGACCACAGTGACTCTAACAATGGCCGTGAGCTTATGAGAAGTGGGGAGGATGGCGCGAGGTTCAAACACGTCGTTCATCAGGTTGTTATGAGTCACTGATTCAAGCCCTGGTGGTAAAACAATGATGCCAACTGACTGCTGAAAAACAACTGTGTTGGTGGTTCAAGCACATTCACAGGTGCCTTAGAAGAACGTAGCAATCTACCAGGGTGTGCCAAGGCCCAACACGAAAACAAATTGATGTAAACTTCCTAGTCACAAACTATTGAGGGAATGAGGTCTGAGGGTCCAAGGATCATGCTGACTGCTGACCTCAAGGTCAACTGGCGTAACAGTCAAAGACAGTGTTCCACATCCTATTTTGATGACAAGCACGAGATCTCAGAAGGTTAAACACAGTCTTTAAGGCACAATTATTAATTTCTCCCTGTCAAGATCAAAACACACAGAATTAATCAGTCCAAAGAACGAAGAAGACAATGAAAATCTCAACTTCTGAGACACTGTGATCCTTGTGCAACGGTGACAGGTAACAACTGCTGAATTCTCGGAAAGTCACCAGAGGGCCTTGACAGAGTGGGTGAGAAACTCAAAACCATACAAATAAATGGTCATGCTACTGGTGATTATGCCAATGATAAAACTTTTCTTGCTTCAAGTGGATAGAAAACACTTGCTGCAGAAGATCAAGGACTACAACCCACGGTATAGACATCTGACTATCAAGAAAACAAAGGCCCTCACTATAGGACTAACAGTGAACACTATGATGGAGAAAAGATTGAAGCTGTCAATGTTTTCATGTTCCCTGGATCAACACCCTTGCACCTCTCCAAAATGCTGAAGTGCCATGATGTCACTTTGAAGACTAAGGCGTGCCTAATTCAGGCCATGGTTTTCTCAATCACCTGGTAGGCATCAGAAAATTGGGGACAATGAACAAGGATGACAGAAGAATTGAAGCCTTTAAGTTGTGTTGTTGGGAGTACTGAATAGGTCTTAGAAAAAGTGTAGTCAGAGTGCTCTTTGAAAGCAAAGACGGTAATACTTTGGACAAGGCTACTGCTTGGAAAGGGCCATCATGCTTGAAAAGATGGGAGGGTGTGTGAAGGAAAGGAAGACCCTCAAGGTGAACCGACACAGTGACTTCAGAAATGGATTCTAATGTGCCAAGAGATGATGATGGCACAGGATAGGGCAGGGTTCAGGTTGGTTGTGTCGTACTTGACTTGATGGCACTTAATACCAACTGGTCTGAGTCTGGTAGAACCCCTGGGATTAAGGTCCAAAGTCACTCTTCAAATCTGGAACTAAACTCATTCCATGGCTCAACTTCAGCAAAAGAGATCTGCCCAAGAACTACAGGGAGCTCTGCCAGTCTAGTCAGTAGGAAGCAGTCTTGCCAACCCAAAGGCAAGTGGTTTGAATCTCCAGTGGAGAAAGGCAATTTCCTCCTATGAGACCAGGAGTCTCACTTGCATGACAACAGTCCAGAATAAGAGGTGCATAGCAAAGTGGTTGGGGGGGCGTAGGGAGGAAAACGTGCAACAAAGCATGAATGAAAGGAAATCCAAGTTTTCTGTAAACTTTCAATAAAATAGACTAAAAAAAGCAGAGCCTCCCATCAACAAACGAATGGACAGAGAAGCTGTGGTATATTCACACAATGGAATACTATGCTGCACTGAAACACAAGGAACTCATGCAATATTATTCAAAATGGGTGGCCTGGGAGGACATTGTGCTGAGTCAAGTATCTCAGTCACAAAAGGACAAATACTGCACGGTGCCACTGTTGAAAAGCAGGACTGACCTCGGATTTGGGAGGAGAAAGATGGGTTCATTGAAACAGATGAGGGAGAAAACTGTTTAAAAGGGATATGTGATTAGGTATTTTTGTCATGACAGGAGTCCAGAGCAAAGGCTGCATAGTGGAGTGGACCTGGGGGAAGGGATTGTAAAACAATGAAAGAATTTTTATTTTACTTTAACTAGGGGAGGGGAGAAAAGTGCAACAGTGAATGAAGGGAAATCCAAAGTCTCTGTAAATTTTCATTGAAATTAATAAAAAATAAAAAAAAAAAAAAAGCAGAGCTCTGAAAACCTGATGGAAGGTCAGCTCTAGTCAGTTTTAACTAAATGAGAATGAGTTTTTGACAAGGTGGCAAAACCAGAGAATTACTTTACTCTTAATCAACGATACATGTTCCAAATGGCAGTGGCAGCGCGTGCCCAGGATAAAGCTCAGAGGGCAGGGATGGATAAAGAACTAGACATTTCTCTAACACACACATCCCCGCCTTCGGCTCACAGCCCACCTCACTAATAGCACCCTCACAAGTAGAAACTGCCCCAGGGGTGATCAGTTTACTGGGCAAGAAACACTAAGAAGTAAAATAATTGTCAAAATAGGCTGCCAGCTTACTGCTTTTTTTAAACTGTATCTATTAAGCACTTTATCATAATACAAATGAGTTAGCTGCATGATCAACTTCATTACATTTTCACAAGTTTCACATACATGTTAAAGCCTGAAAAATTGATCCTTTCGAGTATGGCACTGGTAAAGAATGCTGAGTATGTTCTATGAACAGCCAAGAGCACACACACCTCTCCTTAAAGAATTGATGCTTTTGAGTTGCAGCACTGATAAAGAATTCTGAATATGTACTATGAACTGCCAAAAGGAACCCCTCCATCTTAGATGAGGTGCTCTTTGCTTAACAGCAAAGATGGCCAAGAGTTTGTCTCTCCCACATTTTAGGCACAATACCAGAAGCCAAAGTCCTGGGAGGAGAACATGCCGGAAGTTAGAGCCTGTGAAAGAGGAAGACCCTCGGTGAGATGGACAGTGATCCTGAGGATGTGCCTATCAGGCGGGTCTGCGCTGCTCTACACAGGACTGCTTGCTACGTGCTTGAGTTGTACAAGCCGACCCGCTAGTGGATTTTCAGAGGCAGCAAATCACGCAGGAGGATAACGCACAACTTTATCTCCTGAAACAGCTGGTGGATTTGAACCGCGTGCCTCTGTGCTGGCAGCGCAGCTTCTTACCACTAGGCCACCAGAGCTCCCTGAACAAATTCCGAGAGTAGTAATTCCAATTCATAACGAATGGCCTTTCAGAGCTCTGGTGGCCTAGTGGCAAGAAGCTGCACTGCAATCCCAGAGGTGCATGGTTCAAATCCACCAGATGCTCTGCTGGAGGAGGAACAATCTCCTCCTGTATCAGTCAGATCTGATTTGATGGTACACACACACACACACACACACACACACACACACACTTTAAAAACAAACAAACAAACAAACGAATGGCCTTTCAGGAGTTTAACTCACTGAATCAATAACATCTCGATTTCCCCCCCCCCCACCAAACCTAAACAAACAGCTTTCAATTTCCATTTTAAAGCCTTGTTTGCCAAGTTCTAAAATGTAAGCTTTAAAAAAAAATATTTAAAAAATCAGCAAAACTTTTTCCTCTAAAAACTGCTGAAACACATCCATTGCTTCTGAGTTCTTACTAATAGTGGTCATGAAGGACAGAGTCGAACTCCCCAGAAAGCTTACAACACTCTTTACAAAATAAATCTGTTTAGATTTCTGTAAATCTTTGTAGAAACACGGACTGCCACATCCTTCTCCCATGGAGTGGCTGACAGTGCCAGTCAACCTTCTGATAGCAACAGTGCATCATCATCGCAGCTAATGACTTTATCAAAGTTAAAGCACCCTTTTGTTGTTTTGTAAAGCCATTTCATATAGAAAGAGGGCATGAACAGCCCTCTTCTTCAGATCATGGCAATGTTAATTTATCCCAGAAGCATAACCACTATGATCTACTATTAAGATCCAAAGTGGCAGTCAACTGGGAAAAAAGAAAAGATATGAGAGGAGGGTTGGAAGAATGAATAAACCTCTTGTGACATAAGAATACTATCAAGACGTGTGGGAGCCAGCACTGGAAATGAGTTACGCCGTTCAACAACTGAGTCTGTACCACTGAAGTCGTTCCATCGCCGACTTCTTTGTCTTGAAGATCAGCCAGTTCACAAAGAACCTTTGCTGCAGGGTGTTCCACCTCCAGTAACTTGAGGATGGTTGCACCATCATTGGTGATCGTTACGTCCTAAGAAAATTAGGGAGGAGAGAGAACAGAAATCAGGTCCAGAAAAAGGAGCCGATCTAATGAGCACAAATGCCTTCAAGACACGTGTGCATTTTCAAGACACTAATACCTAGATTTTGACAAAACCATCGAATGTAAACAGTACAAAGTTAATCGCTCCCGTTCTTCGTGGGGACAGAAACACAGGGGTACTTACGCCAATATCATCCACTAGCATTTTATCCAAGCCAACCGGCCCAAGGGAACTTTTGACAATGTTGGCGATAGAAGCTGCAGCCATAACTGTAGGGTGATCAGGGGGACAAAGACACAATTAGAAAACCCGTCTCCTTCCGAGGGCATCTCCTCGCAGGGCAAGAAAAGGAAGACAAAAAGGACACTTGGTCATACGCAGATTGCCCAAAATTCTCAGATCGTTTTAAAAATGATCATCCACTCTGATGGAGAGGGGGAAATGGAAAGATTGGTTCTGCAGGGCTTCAGTTTTATAACGGTTACGGTTAAATCTGTAGTCTCTCCGGCAGGAACCGAAAAAGCAGTAAGAAGGTGTAAGTGCTGACTTCATCCGCCCCAGAACCGATTCATGGAGCGAGGCTCCCCGGCGGCTGCGGGAGAACGTGCCTCGGGAGACCCGCCTTCGCGGTTCACGGAAGGTGGGACCCTCTGATGGAAAGGTGGCCGCTCTCAGGGGCTGCAGGTGAGGACGAGCACGGGGCAGGCCGGCGTCCGCCGCACACGGGCAGCCGTGGGCCCCGCGGACACTGGTCACCTGCTCATCGGACTGGGGACAAAGCGCCGCGCGCGGCCTCCGGGTCCCTCCCATTCAAGGGTCTGAGCGAGCCATCGGCGAGAAACCCCGGCGGAGACCCAGCCACAGGGGCCCCGAGGGCTCTTTCCCGGGACCAGACAGGGGTGGACAGGGGCGGTGGTCACCGGCCCGGGGCGTGGACTAGGCCCAGCCAGGCCGCGCCGTCCTCACCGTTCTGGGAGCGGATCGCCTCCCCGGTGCTGCGGTCCCCGAACACGGACAAAGGCCCCTCCATCTTCGCGGCGAAGGACACGGCAATCCGCACTCACACAGCGGGCAACAGGCACCTGGCCACCTGGCCGGACAGCAACGGCGACGGCGTGGAGCTGCCGGACGGCGCCGCGAGGGATGCTGGGTAACACCGCCTTCCCTCCGCCGCTCCGAGGCCAGCCGCGGGGCAGGGCGGGAAACCAAAAAAAAAAAAGGAAACCGGGGAGCTCTGGTGGCCTAGTGGCCAGAAGCTGCACTGCAATCCCAGAGGTACACTGTTCGAATCCACCAGATGCTCTGCCGGAGACGGAGGAGCAATACTCTCCTGTACCAGGCAGATCTGATTTGACGGTACACACACACAAAATAATAAAAAATAAAAAAAATTAAAAAAAAAAAAAGGAAACAGGGACGGCACCGGAAGTGGAGCATCAGGAAAAGGGCGGATGTAGAGGCGGGACATCGTTTTCGCCCAATTAGAGTGACGATAGGAGGGGCGCGAAGGTCCGAGAGCGGAAATAGTGTTGTGCGGCTATAAAAAGGAGGTGTCCGGGGGAAGGCGCGTCCCTGCCATGGTTGCGCATGCGTGTTAGTATATTCTAGTGAGTTCTAGGAAAGAATGCCCATCCACACGGCGGAGTTTGGGGTGTGTACGTGATGACAGTACTAGCAATTCTAAGGGATGGCTGAACCACATCTTAACTTCATTGTTCAGGAATCTGGGCAGCAGATCGGCCAAGGCCAACCTTTGACCTTAAATTCATGAATGTGAATTGGACCCGCCATCTCAAAAGAGAGACGCGGCGGAGTCCCGCAAAGGCAACTATTCTTTTTAATGCCGAACTGTGTTTATTACCCTGCCTCATTTCCTCCCAGTGCCTGATTGGTATGTGTGTAGATTCAGTATCAGCTGGTTTACACTCTGCGACTGTTTAAGCGATTATCCCCCATTGCTCCAATAGAAGTCTCAAGCCATTAAAGCAAAGATGTTACAGGCGCGACCCCTAAAGCGGCCCCGGACCCTGTCCCACCCCCTAATGCGATCCTGGTATACGGTTGGTCCGCTCTGAGTCACATGCGTGTAAACGTAAGCGGTGATTGGAGAAGCCAACGTGATAGATGGCCGGCTAGGCCACTCAATTGTGGGAGCTTGTAACTTCCGGGAGGAGGTCAGCTCCCATTGGAGACTCGAGACCTCAGCCTGTGAGTGGAAATGGCTGCGTCCTTGGACAGCTGAGGCTCCTGCGGACAGGCGGCGAGGCTTTTCCAAAGCCGATCAGAGGGATCCTTAACCATGGCGCTCCGGCCGCAGCTCTGGACACGGTTGTCAGTTTGCAGAAACCCTGGTAACTAATTTTTCCTTCTTTTTCTTAGCGCACTCCTCTCGCCTCTACGAGATAAGACAGATTTTTAAAAATCACACCCGCTATACAAAAGTAATTGAGCTAATGCATCGTGATGACAATGGTGAAAATTCTGCGAGGCTTCGATCAAATACCCATTTGGTCCTCCTGACCCAGCGGGGAGATCGGGGGGAGCTAGAGGTCCAGTCGTGCGCCTCTTTTGTTCCTTTTCAGTCATTTCGGATAAATGCGGTGGTTTGCATTTCCTAGAGCTCGGGTCTGCAGCGCTGTCCACCGGAGCCCGACCGGCGGCGAAGCCCGAAGCGGCCCCTGCGGACAATGAAGCGGTGGCCCCCCAGTTCACGAACCGGAACCCCCGCAATCTGGAGCTCTTGGCCGTGGCCAGGAAGGAGCGGGGCTGGGGGACAGTGTGGCCCTCCCGCGAGTTCTGGCACAGGTAACTCGGCCGCCCGTGCTTGCAGGGGTGTCCACGTGGGCGGTCATTCATTCTACGGACGTCTGTCCGGACGGACGCAGGTGCCAGGTCCCCGGGGCGGGGCCCCCCCCCCCCCCCCCCCCCGGAAAGCTATCAAAAAGGCCAAGCGGACAAGAAATTTTTCAAACTATGAGGCTGCTTTTTAATCAGTTATTTTGCATCCTTGAATCTCACCCCATTGCTGACCCTTGGGTCTCAGAAAAAAAAAAAAGATAAAGCAGCTCAGATATGCAGTGGGGATAAAGATAGAGTCAAAGCAGCCACGAAACATTTTATCTTGTAGTTTAGAAAGAAAATAAAACTTTAGGCGAGCTCTGGTGGCCTAGTGGCAAGAACCTGCGCTGTAATCCCAGAGGTGCACGGTTCGAATCCACCAGATGCTCTGCTGGAGGAGGGACAGTCTCCTCCCGTACCTGTCAGATCCGATTTGACGGTAAACACACACACGAAATAATAATAATAAAAACATTTTTTTAAAAAAAAGAAAAGAAAACTTTAGGGTTTATATAATTTTTTTTATAGGCTGCAACAAAACAGATCAAAAATCCCAAATTCAAGTAACATAGCACATGACACATAGACACAGAAAATATTGGGAATGAATGAATTGAGTGAATAAATAAATGACACATTAGTGGGTCCTTTTCTGGGCATATGACATTGTGTATGCTTGTGTATCTGCAGGTATGTTAACCACCTGAGACTATAACCTGAACTGAACTCTTTGCCACCAAATTTTAATTGACATAGTCAAGTTGGAACTAACAGTCATCCGGTGGGTTTTCAGAATCAGTAAATTGCACAGTAGGTGATTACCTATCTTTCTCTGTGGCAGAGCTGATGGACCCAAACCTACCTTTGAATTGGCAGCGTAACTCTTCTCAGTGGAGCCACCAGAGCTCCTTACGTGAGACTATAAAACTATTCAATTCTAATTTAATTTTGCAGACAATAAATTAATAATGTGTCATGGGGGAAATGTAGAGTGATTTTCACAGTGGGGATTGAGTGCCCACTAGGACCCTCCAGAGATGACACTTAAAAAAAAAAACCCCGAGACTTATAGTTACCCAAACCAGGTGGACTGACAGTGGCTGCAGCCGTGAGGGTGGCACAGGACAGCACAGGGTTCTGCAGTGCGTAGAGTCGCTGTGACTTGTACTCAACTTGTCAGCACCTGACAACTATAGTTACCAGGAATGGGAAGGGAGGGAGAAGGCAGTAAGAATTAATAAATAGGCACTTTGGGTGAAGGGAAGGGCAGTACACATTTTGATCAGCTATTGAAATAAGTACACCAGTCAGATGTAATTAATGACAAAGCTAAATGTCTGAGTGATCCAATGAGATTTTAATTCTGTTGTTATCAAGCAAACAAACAAAAAATCAGAGAATTGAAAGATTGGACGAAAGCAGACTGTGTGTATGAAGTACCAGGAAGACCATTCCTAGCAGAAGAAATAGAGTGGAAGCTTGGCTAGTGTGTAGAGCAAAAACCTCCGTACCTGGAGCTCTGTGGACAAAGAATGAGATGGTGTCGTATGTGGAGGACACAGCATTACTTTTGGAAAGCAGAGTAAATGGGCAAAACGGTTGTTTTCACTCTCCTGGGAAGCTGTGAAAGGACTTAGGGTTTGAGCTTGAATAATACAGTCCTTGGAGAGGGATATTGTGCTTGTGAGCATGGAGGGACAGCGCAGGAGGGGAGGGACCCTGGATGAGGTGGACTGACTCAGTGACTGGAGTGATGGGAGTAGGTGTGTCAGAGACAGTAAGGTTGGCTCAGGACAGAGCCAGGTTCAGAGCTGTTGTACATGGAGCCAGTGTGAGTCGCAAGTACTCCACAGCACATAACCACAATGACAAATAACAGTTTTCAAATCATTCTGGCTATTTTGGGGAGAACAAAGAAATTTTTTTATTTTAATGAAAGTTTACAGAGACTCAGGATTTCCAGTCATTCATTGTTGCACTTTTCTCCCTGCTCACCCAAAATTTTTAAGGAGAATACAAACAGGAAGATTAATTTGGAAAAAATAAAAACACAGTTGTTGCTTTCGAGTTGATTGTGACACATAGATCCTATAGCACAGATTTTCACTATAGCATTTGGGAGGCTGTAAATCTTAGAATACTGTTTCATCTTTCTCCGCACAGAGTGAGTGATAAGTTTGAAACTGCCATCCTAACCTATTGTACTACCTGGACTCCTTTAAACTATCTTATGAGAGTCGTGGGCCAGCACATTCTTGTCTTTCCTTGTCTCCCTTTGCAAAGTATTTTTCCTGATAAACCTCTTTGCTTGCATTTTTTTTAAAAGGATGTTTTATGAGGCAGTATAATTACTTTTTCCATTTTATGGAGGAAATGGGGGAGGGGAATTGATGCTTAGAGCAGCTAAGTCTTACAGTTAACAGTTGAAGTGAGAAAGAGTAATAAAGGCTAAAATGTTACCGTTATAATGAATTTTTTCTTGCAGTGTACAGGTAGGAGGAGTTCAAATTGGAAATCTTAAGTCTGAAAGTGTTTTGGAATCTCTTTTCACTTAATATTTGGATCGTTTAAATAACAGCCCTATTCTCCCCACCCACCTTATTACAGTCTTATCAGTACTGAGTTTTGGAATGCTACAGGAGGAAGCAGTCTTTTTTTTTCTTTTTTTAAAAAATTTATTATTATTATTCATTTCCAT